AAGAAAATGAATTTTGTTTACTTTCATTTATTGCTGATCAGTTTCCATAACAACTCTGGAAAATATGTTTGCGGTAACTAAATCTATTCATAATTTATTAAATCTCAAGATGTGAATATCTTCAAATGCCGATTTAACACAAAGATAATAAGGTTAGGATGGAAGAATGAAGAAGATTGGGAGATACAATAGATCGCGGGAAAAGGTGCAAGAGGATAAGAACTTTCTTACAGGCTATATAAACAGGAGTTCAACCAAGTCGCAAAAGTGTTTTGTCGAAGACCATGAGTGTTGTACTTTTCACCAAAAAATCATTGAGCCATGAGCTGCGACGACTATTTGAGAGACAATTTCGTTTACTCAGTAAGAACTCTATTTTTGTGGCTCCTCCACTTCACAAGGGAGCTAGTTCGGTTACGCGATTCATACCCAAAAATCCTCCATTTCTCTAGGTCCACAATGGTGACAAACTATCTGGATAGGGATAACACTGACTTGATGTAACTTCAAGGATTATCAGTCAGTTTTAACATGATAACAATGCCATAGAGGAGCAAACTAAAAGCGCTTGCAAATCACATAGATCCTATGATTGTCCGCTCAGCCGGCTTAAATGCCAATATGTGACTAATACTGAACCCTTTGACGAATAGTTGCTGGCAGCTTCGATGCTTTTTATGGAAGAAAGGATGGTAGAAGAGCGGTGGCCTCGGTGATGTAGTAGTAGCACGCGCCGACAGTATGTAGTAAAACGAGAATTCGACACTTTCTTGGGGTCGAAGATTTTGCATATCATGCAGCATTTTTGAATGTACAATTACCGCGTTAAAACATTATCATGAGAACAAAAAAGTTCCTGTATATATCGTAGTTCTACAAGTCTCTCAGGTGATTAAACGCCAGCGTTAATTTTCAATTGACCTTCAGAATTTTCTTTTCACTCAGATTGCTGAGCATTGATAAGAATAGGTAAGTATTAAGAGGCATAATCTCATGCTTGTATTCCCCAGGTTTTCTACAGATTATTCAGCATTGAGATAATCATAATTCCGTGTGGAGCATATTTCTTAGAGGTGTTCTTTAATCACATAACTCTCAACTCCTCTGAGGAGAAAAGCAGATGTGAAACATTTATGAAAAAATGCTCAAATGATGAATAGGAAGGTTATAATTAGTTACTGTGTTGATCAAATATGTATCAAATTATCGGTACCATGCCACAAATGGAACTGCGTTCATAACGCATCACTGAGACATAGCTGATCGTCAAGCACGTTGCATTTTATCCCTTATTGCTGTAGCGTCCATAATCATCTTTTTTCTGCTCTATGGAAAGTGAAAACTCTGTACCTAACACTGATAGAAAGCAAATAAGTGCTGCACAGAGGTTATGAAGAATCTTCCAAATCGCATGAATGCGGTACCTCCTCTCCTACGCCCTACTTCGTAATGATTTGACTGCATCACATATGATCTGATGAGATCCAGCGCTGGTTGACTGCTGTCCTTTGGCAAACCACTTGCCTCTAGAAAAATTCAGTTTAGTTTCGATGGTCTATTTCCCTCCGAATTATTTTGAAGTTTCATTATTCTTATCTCTGATGATATGATAACATGTTTGAGCCTGTTATGAGGCTGGTTCGGCACTTATACAGTGCTAGAAAGCTCATATTTCGCCGTTCCAGACTCCCGTAGCGAGGTGCCTTTTGATTCAGTTGACTCCTTGAGGATATACTCCTGCATATAAGGAGTCGACGCCGAACAACAAATGCAGTGACCACGCTCGAGCGCTTGTGGATGGTATGCAGTGAGCGCAGCGACCACTGCAATGTCTAAGAATTTTGTCACCTGACTTGCGGTGATTTATTATTCGGCGTCCACTCCTTACGTGTAGGAGTATATCTCCAAGAAACCGGCTGAACCGAAAGGCACCGTGTTACTGTATAGCCTGGAAGGCGAAACAGCAGCTCTCTAGTACTGTGTAAGTGCCACTCGAGAGCCCATGACGGGCTTAAACATGTTATCATATTATCAGATTATTTTTTTAACGAAATCAATATGAACAGTCGAGTGTCGATGTTCTCATTTCTATTCGGCATACCACTAATGTCTATCATTTTGATAATGGATCTAAATTCGTAGTGCTTTTATTTCTTTCCGTTCTCTGATAGTTTTGTTTCTGAAGGTCTCGTGGTTTGAATCCAAGTATTATACAGCTTGTATTTGAGCATATAGATCCATAACAAGCATCGATAGCAATCTCATCATGTCCCTGAACATCTGCGACCTTCACCTACACTTGACTGCTTGACTGATCTTGTACGTACTCATTCTCAAGTTTTATGTACCATAATTTTTCTGATATCTGGGTGAATTAAAGCGGTTGTATACTTTTTTCGGGAAATGAAGCATTCTCAATATGAGTGAATTCAAGCATGAGCATTCTCAATATGACCTTGAGGACGACGTGAGTCCTCGTGGAGGCAGTGATTTCTGGTGGTTTTTTTAGTGCCCAGGAGGTTTATATTGAACTTTTTGTAGTCATTCGATAGCTCAAGAAGCGATGTTTCTAACATTAAACCTGTTTACTGGAAAGACTTTCTTGGTGGCTGTAGCAACAAAGTGATTATTCGTTACACCTTCAGAATAGTTGCTCTGTTGATTCAATTTCACAGCGGATGTTAATAATTAGCTTAGTAAGGTTACATTTCTGAGACCGTTCAATGTTCTTCTAAAATTATGGAATACTACCGAGGACACTTCTACAACAACTTTCATCAGTAACAAAGACCGTCCATACCTCTAAACGTTCTCAATGAAAAAGCTAAATTTTTGTGACTACAAATGCTTTCAAGCCTCTTACTTCCAAATAATTAATATTTTTCATCATACAGCTCTGCCTTAAATTGTGTAATTGTGGCTCATTCTCACCTCTGGTTGAGTCAAACACGACCTACAATATCTCTACGCCTCATGGATTCTTGCATTGGCTACTTGAAGTTATAGCTTATATGTGGTCAAGTTGTTGTCTAATTTGGTATGAAGAAGGTTCAAAGAAGATTCTTGGTACTTTTTCCCTATCCGCACTCATATTGGGAAAAAGTATTCTTTCTTCCTTTTTGACGTTTCACTAATTATTCGACAGCTTAACTATCGTGAATGAAGAGTGTATTTTGTTTTTTAGACGGAATTTATATGTACTTTAAGAGAATCAAGAAAGTAAAATCTTCTTTCACACTCAAGCATCTCCAGCTGGACAGAGGTTCTCATTCAGACTCTCAACAACCATACGGTAGCAAATATCTCAACGATTCAATGAGAGCATAGTTTTTGAGAACAAAGTTTTAGTGCTTTGTTACAACTGACAAATTATTGAGTTTCACACTCGGCGCCGTGTCTGATCGCGCAGCGCAATTCGCACGTGGCCTGTGTTACGCTCTGGATGTAAAACCCAATTCTTTTAGCTATAACGACTCACTAAGAAGACTTTTTCAAAAACCAAGTATATCCTTGGAATTGTTAAGATTTGCACTATCGAATGGGTATGAAAGTATGAGAGAAAAGCTGTGTCCTGCAAAAAATACTCAGATGTGCAGCACAGTTTTATTTTTGTTGCTACAACTCCCTAAGAGACTTTCTACAAAAGGCAAGCACATCATTGAAATCTTCGAAACTAAGCTATCTATTGGTTATTGAATGGCGGCAGCTTAACGCCAATGTTGCAATATCCTTCTACATACTGATGGAAGGCATACGTGCCGCATGTGGAGTGGAATCTTGATTTCATTGTTACAGCGCAATATAAAGCTTTCTTGCAAAACGAAAAGCACTATTGAATTTGAGAAAAATGTGTTATGGAATGATTGTTAAACTTTTTCAAAAAGCTTTCCTCATTGAAAGATGTTTAGTGTGAAATAATATTTTCTTTTTACTGCTACAGCGTAGTTTAAAGACCCAAATATAAGGTACACCTTATCAAATTTTCGAGATTTATGCTATCGAATGCTCCTAAAATGTCTAGAAAGAGCGAAAAATGCGCTTTCTGAACATGGGCACTGATAGGTGAAGTACCGTATTGACGCAATGATGTGCTCTTCGCTCTTCCTACACTCACCTGCTACATGTTAGAATTACCTCTCATAGACCTCTACATAGAGATGTTCAGTTGTAGATGTGCTTTCAAGCTAATTCTCGCAAGACAGCGATACCGATGCACAATAGGAGTTTAAATCTTGTTTTTTCCTATAAAGGCGAGTATTACCGCTGAACAATGAAGAATTTGAGAACTAGACACTCTTAGTATCAAGAAAACCTTCTATGGAAGGTTCATTCATGATTCTGCATTCTTTATGTAGAGAAACGATACCTTTGAAGTATTGAATTTACCCATAATTACCAATAAACTATCTATGATGTCCAAGCGGCGGAGTAACATTTTAGGCTCGAAATGTGATCATCTATTTGCTCTTAGAGCGTTCTATGATAACCTTTCAAAAACCAATTACATCATCAAAATTGTCAAATGTAGGCTATCTAATGACTAGCAAAGCTCAAGTGAAGAGCCATATGTAGCCTCAGTCGAGCAAATGAAGCAAAGTGGGTGTAAAACATAGTTCTATTTCGCTGTTATAACGTATTACAAAGTCTTTTTCAAAATCAGACATATCTTTGAAATCGCAGAGATTTGAGCTTTCGAATAATTACCAAGTGTCTAAAAGGAAAGTTGTGTCCAGCGAAAAAGACCTTCGAACAATCCGTGTACATCGTCTGGTACACGTCGTCCCTTAGAGGTCAAACAAACTATGATTTCATCACATTTCTTTCAGTTGTACTATTCGTACAAGCTGGTGGATTGACTCGACGTTACAGATCTCGCACACTAATCATGGTTTTCTAAATTTGCCTGTACATACATTATTACTTCGAATGTTGTTATTTATGTCATAATTATTGATATAAAGGTTAAATTAGCAAAGCTCGAATTGTACTATTCGTAAAGTTTATGCATTGGCCGGGAGTCGAGCCGGAGTCGCTCGCGTTACAGGCGAGTATTCTACCACTGAACCACGAATTAAGTATTCTTTGACCGCGTTATGACTTACGGTTTATGCTTTTGGTCCAGTCAACCACTGCTGTGTTTGAATTTGTGTTTTGATATCGCATGAATTTTCCCACACTGAGAAACTATGTGAAACTGTTTTACTGTATAGAATTGAAAGAAAGTCTAGTTACTATATCGTAATTATCCATTTTGATGCTTCTTTGAACAAGAATAAGAGCTTTTGTTTTGCAGACAGGTTTGGAGAATCACTCTTGGAACTTTTCACTAATCGCTGAAGTCAGTCACCAACTTCATTGGCATCTCTACTGACAGTGTTGCAAAGAGTAAAAATCATGTTTTTTTTCACTCTATTCATGATTTGACCCATTTTGCGATAGTATATACTGAACTTTAATATCATATGTTTGTATGCTCAGCTCATAACTGTTAAGTTGTTCAAGAATTCATGTATTCTTTTAGTTTGTGGTCATTTCTTTTGGCTCTTCCAATGAACTGAACTCGGAGTGTAAATAATTTCGAGTCTTCGTTTGACACTATAATCATAATCGCGGACTAGGAAGCAAAAATGAAAGTTAGGGAATCCAAGATGGAGGGAGAGGATACCAGAGAAGGCCTTCACTCAGCGTTACGTATTAATTATTATGTTTCCAAAAATGAATTTTAACGACAAAGCACTTAGTTCGTTTGTGTCAGTATATGGGGATTTTACATATGTACACTACGATTCTTTTCCTTCTGTGGACGAGGAGATTTTCTTCGGACATTTTTTGAAATTGACATTTCTCAGCTTTGCTGAAACGATTCATCGTTTTAGATTAATTTCACTTTTTTCATGAATTTGTTCTTTGTGTCATAACAGTTTACAGATTTTGTAAGGTTAAAGAAAGAAAAACAATGCATAGTTTATTCCAAACACTTCACAGCTGAGTTGATGTTTCAGTTGACGGTTGCAATTGCCGTGATGAAGTGCGATGCAAAGGGAGCGGATGCTAACATTCGAACTGCTCTGTTCAATACATCTTGCCACATCTGTCTCGACCAATTCGCCATGATGATATTCGTAGTCTGTACAGTTTTTTAGAGCAAACATCTGTACCTTTGAGCGTTTTATTAAGACAACGCTCAGACTTCAATATATCTCATAATTATTATCTGAGCCAACATGTCATGTGGTCTGTTAATGGGCTCTTGTACAGCCCGATACACGTGTTTCGACCTTACAGTCTCGTCAGTCGGGCAGAACCCTTCGTCCTTAGCCAATCATCTCGGAAGCTCTCCCTATAAAGAGGTAAGCGACGACGAGCGACTTACACTGCACTGCCGTCAAGTGAAAAATCACAAGATTGGAAATTTTCGACACTCGTTTGCTCTTGGCTGGTATTTTTGTATATTGCACCTTTTCTTAGCAAGTATCTATTTGAAAAAAGGTTCGAACCGTAAGAGTCCCTGAGACTGTTGTTTGGTTGGCGGGAATAGCTGAAATCGCCATGCCTTCACAATCCGTATTGATGTCCATCTCAGTGCATAAGGCAGTGACGGTGCTATCGACAACGAGGCAGTGTGGTTGCTTATCCATCATCACTCCTTTGGCTGCAAACAACTTTTTTGTTCGAACGTTTGTTGACAATAATCGGAAAAATGCAGTATAGCTTTTGTCAGTGTTTCTCGCAGTTCACCCCATTTTTGTTAATACGTAGTGCGCAGTGTAATGAGGTATGTTAAGATGTTGGTGCTGTTGATGGAACATCTATGAGAATTTTCGACCAGTGTTTTGTTCATCTAGCTTTTCCATCAGTACTCTTGTTTTTATAACTTCTTTAGTATGCACAGGTAAAGTTCTAGAGTTGCTTAAAATAAAGTTTTTTTTCAGTGCAGATAACTAAAGTTGTATAGACAAGAAACCAGCAAAATATTCTACTTTGGCGGAAAAGATTGAATCTGTTGAAAATGAGCCTTTCACCTTCAACATCACACTAAGCTTCCAGAAAATTTTGTCAGCCTCTTTTCCCATTTTTCCACGATATTTCTAACACATTCAGCTTTATCATAACCTTTTCCATAAAATGGAACTAATTCAAAATTAAGTATACTTTCACTCCTTAACTGTGCTGTTTTTCCTCGGAAGGATTGAACAGCGAAAGTGGTGCAACGATTAACCTGGACAATTCATGAGCGCACTACCAGCCACTTTTTACACAAATCGACATCAAATTCGTATTTTGGCACTTTCAGCATCGATTCGTCTTCTTTAATACATTATACACGACTGCCTACAGATTCGTATTGCATTTCGCCTCATGTTCGAGGTTTCTGAACTTCTCACGAATGCCGTTGATTGTTGGCCAAGTACACAGCATAAATATACATTATATTACTTATGACGTTCAAGCGATAGGGCAAATCTCTTCTACAATTTTGCAAAGGTCTCAAATTCCGGAGTACTTATGATTAAAAGGTAGCCTGATTATACAGCAATCTACGCTTTACGCCGAAAACACTTGAAATCATTGTAAAAAAACATGGTTTTAGAACCGACAATTTCATAATAAGCCATTGATCTTTTTAACGTGATATTACTGCTGCAAAAATATTAAGAAAAATACTAATTCCCAAGACTGACTGTCTATTAACCTCGGCATGCTTCAATATAATTCCTGATTTTCTTCTTTGAGCCAAACACGAGGTGTTACATTAATTCTTATTCAACAGCTGACGTTTCGGCAGTTCGCCTTCTTCAGAGTCTGGAAAGGTCAAATTGTCTGCAATCCAATTAGTCAAGCACCTCCATTACTCCTTTGGAAAAAATCACCAAACCTCAATTTCAATCGCATCAAGCACAAAATCAACTCTCAAAATACTCACCGCTTTTTATATGCACCGAATGATTCAAGTGGAGATCACCGGAAGGAGTCACATAGGCTCGCAATGCACCCTACACGTCAAAACAGCAGTCTATATACTGACTCATATCACGAGTGATAACGAGGCATTCCTCCTTGCGCTTTATAGCTGGATTGGTGGTGTTAATCTAAAGTGCTTCCAGATCTATCGCGCTGGTGTTTTTTGTTCCTGCGCGAGGATGGCGACTTCGATCTCAAAATCAACTCCGTCGTGTTTCTGTTCTCTATGCGTCCTAGAGGGGTGTTCCGTCTATTAAGACGTTTGTCAGCTAGGTGTTCTTCTATGCGGGCATAGAGCGGCCTACGCGTTTCAGCCAATATATTTATCGCTACACGCTTAGCGATAAATAGATAGGTAAGATAAGAATAGATAAGTGTGTAGCGATAAATTTATTAGCGAAACGGGTAGGCCGCTCTATGCCCGCATAGAAGAACGCCTAGCTGACAAACGCCTTAATAGACGGAACACCCCTTTAGCGACGCATAGAGAACAGAAACACGACGGAGTTGATTTTGAGATCGAAGTCGCCATCCTTGTGCCGGAGCAAAAACATCAGAGCGAAATATTTTGGAACCAATTTGGATTAATACTACCAATCCAACAATAAACCGCAGAGAGAGAATGCCTCGTTATCACTCGTGATTTGAGTCAATATATAAGACTGTTGTTTTGATGGGCAGGGTGCATTACGAGTCTATGTGATCTCCTTCCGGTGATCTCCACTTGAATCGTTCAGTGGAACAGATCCACAGAGCGGTGAGTATGTTTGAAGCTGAATTTATGCTCGATGCGATTGAAATCGAGGTTTGGTGATTTTTTCCAAAGGAGTAATGGAGGTGTTTGACTGATTGGATTGCAGACAATTTGACCTTTCCAGACTCTGAAGAAGGCGAAACTGTCAAAACGTCGGCTGTTAAATAAAGATTAAGGTATCATCTCATGTTTGGCTCAAAGAAGAAAATCAAAAAATAATAATTCTGTTTTTAGCCTAACTGATACTTCCTGAGTTGATGTTAAAAGTGTCAAAACGTACTTGTTCCTGGTTTGAAAGCTGACACAGTTTTGCACTCCAAAGGAGCGTAACTGGTCTGAATGGTGAGCTGACTCGAAGATCATTGAGATGATACCATCCGGAAGGCCTGCGCTACGACCTTGCTGCTCAAGAACATCAGTCACCTAAAGAATAAACTTAGTCAATAGGTGGTAAGATCCAAATAGAAGCAGTTTTGATCGAATAGTGTCAACCCAAGTTGACAAGTCACTTTTTGCATTTTTCTAAAATCTTAAGCAAAATAATAAGATCCAAGAGTTTAAACTCACTGTCTGCATTATAAGACGCATTACAAATGAGTTAGCGGCTCCTGGAGTGGTTGCAATACCAGGGAACTGGGCAGGAGCGCTAGCTGAGCTAGTGAAAACCATTGCGACTGGCAGTTTAAATCCGCTCACAGTAAAGCTTATAGTCCTTGCTCCAAAGAAAAACTTTATAATTTTACTGTGAAGCTCAAAATCAAATCATTCTCCTGCTATTCTATTTCTCTGATGGTTTTCTTCTTCTTCTTCTGCTCTATGCTTCTCAAAATCTTCTCGTCATTACGTTATATTCCGAGAACACAAGAGGAATCATGAAGTATAAGATATAGATGATAAAGCATCAGATTGGGATTCTTGAATATAGATAGATTAGTACTGAACGTATAGAAAAAGGAGGGCGTCACGGAGTGGCTAGTGGTGCTCGACGCGATGTTCATCCCCCCTCCCCCGAGCACTCTCATGCACTCAGTAACGAACACTCCAGACTGGCTATCCGTGAGATTACAAGCAGATATGCTGGATCAGTATTCTACGACTTTACTGGAGAACATGGAACTCTCAATCAGGCGATGAACAAGAGGAAACGAATTGATTGTTAGAAGTACTGGAATCCGCACTGTAAAAAAAACTAGCTATGACGCACAAATGATATGGTATAGATATGTCTCAAAATACGGCTTCGAGTATTATATTTGAAACTGTGAATTTCTGTAGCAACATAAGAATCTTCCTATAACGTACCTTGTCCTTCTGGCATCACCCCACATCCAAACACTGTCGCTAATGTGCGAGCAGTG